GACATTCTTTGCCACAAATACCTGACAGTAAGTTTTAAAGATTCTTTTTTTAACTCTCCTTCCTTTCTCCTGGTTGTGTTTGACTTTACATTGACTTCAGTCCTCGTCCAACCTTGTTTGTTACACTTGGTGTTGTTTTCATGATTGCTTAGCTGCCGATATAAGCGTTTGCCACATTGGATTGGGATGACCTTTGGCTTTTTCATTCTAAAAAGAAGGTGACCAAGTTGCACCTACCTTTGTTTTAGATTTGTATCAGTATGCGTCTGTATTGTCCAAACATTTGTTGTCATTTAGAGTTTTTTTCAATAGGGATGACATCCGCTCATCTCTTGATGCACCCTGGGATGGGATGTATATAATCTCATCAGACTCTTTGACTTTTTTCTATTACTCTATAGTTCAATCTTTATGCTCATCAGCAAAATATTTTTTTGTGATCATTCTCACTGATTGGTGGTTTTATTAAGACTAAACAGTCCAACTCCATAAGTTCAATTCACATTGGAGGAAATGTTATTAGTTTCATGATTAGTACATTGTCTTAGCAAGCTTTTTTGCTCAGTGTACCAACTGTTCACCCAGACATCATGAGGCTTTTCTAATGTTACTCAGAAAGAATGGCCAGAGTAAAAGCTATAAATCCATTTTAATCCCTAAAATAGTCAATAGTCACCTTATTCCTTTATTATTTAGGGGTTAATGGGTATCTCTTTCAAATGACACTTTCTCACAGTACATGGCAATTTGATATTATCATGTGCAGCCTTTTTTAATTATTCTGCTCAATTTCTTGAGCAGAATAATTGATTTTAAAAAGCTGGATTTAACGAGCATGATTAAATTTAAAAAAGGTTAAGAACAGTACATCTGATCATGCCAAACAAAGGTCTTCTTTGTGGACCTTTACGTATATTAGAAAATGCAGACTTCTCTATTTTTTCTTCTAAAACATCCATTCTGTTCATCTATCCTCGTCTGAACTGTTCTCCATCTTGTCATCACGACACTCTACTGTCATTCTACTGTCAGTCACTGAACAGACAACAATTTCCGATCAATCATTACATTTAGCAGCTAGAGAGTTCTTTAAGGATGATCCTTTTGCCAGTTCTCTTAGGAAAAAGTTGGAAACCATTTTAATTCGGAGGCAACAGGATGAGAAGATCAGACGTTTGTGAATCATATCTCCTCTGCAATATCCAATGACGCTTAGTTGACTCATTTACAGTCTAAATACAGGCGTGATGACTGTGTGATAGATTCATCATTGGCTGCAAACAATTTGGTTTGTGGAACCTTTGATAAAGTTTGTATATAATGTGGTTCAGTCTGCAAGATGGTTTAGTGTATGTGCTTTATGAGTGGTATAGTCTCCATATCCTGTCCATTTCATTGTAAACAGAAGATGGTACAAACAGTGCCAGAGGTAGGCTCTGTTATCATTTGGGCCTAAAATAAAATTTCCAGTTAGATTATTCAGGGTTTCTAGAGGCTAGTAAAAGGTAGTGAACTGAATAAACTCAGATGAAGGCCATTGAAAGGTAGTAAAAGGTAACAAACTGAAATTTTTCATCACCTCCTCAGTATATTCCGAATTTTTCATTGATGCTGACATTTTTGTTTTAAGTTCATTTTTAATCAAATCTGTCTAAAAAATATTGCTGTATTCAATAGGACTTGAGCTGGTGTTTAATAGGCTCAATTGGTTGTGCTGGTTGATTTGCTGTGTGCAATGCATGGTGTTGGAACCGCCTTTGTCACTTTGTGCCTCACCATTTTCCCATGATGAAGCACAAAGTCAGATAAGTAAGTTGAAATTAAATGATTTGAGGAAACAAATTCCCTTAAAACCATTTAAGTTTATCAACTCAGACTAATAAGCTGAATAGATTTAATGCATTTATGATTTACATTAGGTAAGACAAATATTAACATCTTGATATACTGTTTTATTCCCAAAACTTAATGTAAGAGCAGTATGATTCCTACAATCGATTATTTTTCTTATTTATTTGACAATTTTATGTTAACTGGACTTTTTAGTTTATTATTAGCAGATCTTTCCTACACCAACTTTAGCACTCAGAGCTGAGGTTCTGTAGTGCCTGAAAACTGCAGCCAAATTATGGCATCAGGGTTTTCCTCCAAAACCTGTTCAGGCATGAAACATAGCCAAACGTTTTGCATTCATGGAGTCTTATTCAAGACATATGGTTGATTTTATATTGGTAGTAAAGAATATTCTAAAGGTAGTAAAAGGTAGTGTTGTGCAATTTTACCAGCAGGTTATCAATATATTAAATATCTAGGAAAGGAAGTCCCAGTTTGTTAATTGCTCATTAAATAAAAGGTAAATCCAGGTAATGATCATTATTTAAATGATTATCATTGAAATCTGCTTATTTACCAAAATTTTTTAGTCGCACATACTCATTCACACACAGGCTTCATAAAGTCAACATTCAGTTAAAAACACTTTGATATAAAACCATCAACATTTGAAATTAAGGAGCTCCTTTCCTTTTAGTCCAACAGGCACTCGAAGACACCTGAATTAGTCCGATGCAACAACAGAGGGAACGATGCTGGGCTTTAATTTGGTCTGATCACTTACAGTGGTTCGGGACATCTCTCACAGGCAGCACCTGTAATCAGGTGCTAAAATCCAATCGTCGTAGTGGCCAAATGTGCAAGAGGACGGTGTGGCAGTCCAAGCAGCTGAATGTGGCAGGTAGTGGAGCCAGGATTCAGAGGCAGCATTAAGGAGGGAAGGTCCTTATCTGCCTCAGGGCAGGCTGGATTTTGATGAAACGCTACAATCAACTTCTGGTTTGATCGTAGGCAGAGGGAAAAGCAGTCTGTTTTCGCCAGCAAACACAGACACTCTGGAGGATAGGGACACATGACATGGTTTCAGATGAAAAGGTTTTCTCTAACCTTTTGGAACCGAGTCCTGGGCAAAAGATGTCAGGAAATGGGAATTGTTCGAAATGTGGTTTTAGAGGGACATGACGTAATAGGGCAGTTGGCTCGCTTACGTGGTGGGCTCGCTTATAGACATACAGAAGTAAACTCAACACTGAGAATACTATATTAACCCTTTTTTATTGCTTTTAGCAGGATAAGGGGCTTCATAGTGTTAGTTTGTTGGCATTGTCATCTTGCAGCAAGATGAGGTCTTTATGTTCTCCCTGTCTGGGTGTGAGTTCTCTCTGGGTACTCAGTCCTCTTCCCACTGCCCAAAACCATTAATAGATTAATTGGTCTCTGTTAATGGCTCCAGGTATGTGTGTGTGCATTTTTGTCCCTCCTGTGTGTCCTTTTATTGTCTTTAAGGACATCCAGCTGTAGACGATGGGTGATTGGTTCCATTTATTTTCATACGTGTTGGCAAACTAGGATGTATCAACAAAAGAAGAAAGATGTGGTATCTATGTGTGCTAGTCCAACACTTATTTGCATTTAGGACTAGGAAGACTCCAATGTGACCGGGTGCAAAGATGTCTACATCTGAAGAATGATCATATCCTGATGTTCAGAAACTGCTATGGCTTACTTAAATATTCTTGCTGCTTGAGAGTAACATGGCATTTTTGTCTCTTTTCAGGAGGATTATGACCGCCTGAGACCTTTGTCCTACCCCATGACCGATGTCTTCCTCATCTGCTTCTCAGTTGTCAACCCGGCCAGTTTCCAAAATGTGCGAGAGGAGTGGGTGCCGGAGCTGCAAGAGTATGCACCCAGTGTTCCTTACCTGCTCATTGGCACACAGGTCAGTGTTTATTGAAAAATAAAACTCACCTCATGATTGGAAGAGTTTCACTACCTCCACAGTTTGACTGAAGACTATATCTAAAAGGGGGTATGAGTGAATGATTTGTTACTCAATCGTTTCTCCATATTTTCTATGCAAACTCAGTGATTACAGCTGCAAGGAGACAATTAATGATGACTAATTCATCTTAGACAAGGAAATCAATGATAACAGTGCTTCTTTTTTTCTTGTATACATTATATTTAGCTTGTCGAGGGCTGCCTGAAAAAGTTAACTTTTCCTTCAAGGCTGAGCCTATGTGCAATTTGGAGGTGTGTGGGCCCTATTTTAGCAGACGCCCTGTGGATACTGATCTCTTGCTCCAAGGGGCTTGATCATCCTAATATCTAGTCAGAGCCATAAAAAGAATTTGTGCAGTGATGCCAGTACTGTTTTTCAAAGGGTTTGGTTTTAACCTTAGGGGGTGGCCAGTGTGGTAAATACTGCTTCAGATTCTTTGAAGACCAGTCTGTGGTGTTGTGTGAGGGCAATGTGTTACATAAAAACTGTGACCACAGCTTACAGGTAATGATCCTCGCAGTAGTTTAGTGGTTTCTTAAAACAGACCAGTTGCTGACTTTGTAATTGCGTACAGTAAAATACTTCTTCCATATCCGTGAAAGAACCTCTTCATTCTGGATGCTGTTTAATGCTGTGGCCAAGTCTTAGGTTTGGGAAATGGCACCCTTAATCATATTTAACAGATTTTCAATAAAGTTGAAGTTATTGATTTTTGAAGGTCATCTCTGAAATCTGTTAGCCTCTGTCTGTATTGGGTCATTGTTCTGCTTGATTTCCTTAACATGTCCCAAGTTTCAACCTTCTGACCCAAATAGATAAAAACACATTGGTATGAGATGTTCAGGAATAACACAGGTACTTCTGCGTTTAAGCCAGAAAGAAAATATTTTCCCTACAGACAAGATCAGCTTCCTCAATGCTGACATAAGTCAGGCTTTTAGCTGGGAATATTTCAGAGGGTGTACACCTTGGTGCATCATATATTTAGGCTTTCTTTGGCATAGAACATTTTTAAATATAGACTCCTTGAAACACAATTTTCTGCATTTTAAGATGGAATGTAGCTAAGTTTTTGTCTTTATCACAACATTAATTTTGTCCTAATTATGGGAAGTATGTGTTTTTTACTAGAGGTGGAAATTTCATAAGGATTACATGAGATAATTTTTTTGGTACAATATTATGTTTCATAGGTTAATTCAAACAATTAGAAAGTGTAATGCTATGTTCATTTGCGTCAAAAGCATCTTTGATGATCCTGAAGCACAGCCAGTACAGTGTGTATAGATGCATCTGATGCTTCTGCTGCTCCTATGTTCAATTTTTGAGAGTGGCTTTGCTATAATTGCCGTGATCAGTGGGTAAAACTTAGTTTTAATATGTTTTTAAGTGAGAAAGTACACCTAAAAACATAATCTGTGCAGTCAGTTCATCAAGATTATGCTACTGCCTTAAAATATTATTTCGCTGCATATACATACCTCATATATACAAGCGCTGTCACTGGGAATCCACAGCAGCAGCTGCCTAAGACCGGTTTGCCTCTTGGGCCATTTTCCCCTACTGGTCGTAGCAACTGGAAGTGGATGTAAGCATTTTTGAGGTATGTGGTGCAAACTGCAGGCACAAGAAAAAGGAAAGCGAACATGTTTTTCCAGCAAGTTTCGACATTTTACATCAATTTAATCATCAATAAACTATTTCAGGGGACTGATCATAGCGCTCTGCATCAGCTCCATCAGCAGTACAATTTTTTATATTTAGTAAAGGACATGCAATGTATACCTGTATGCATTGCTAACTAAAAGCCTGCATAGAGTAGAGAAAACCCTCACATCTCTGGTTTTAAAGCCTCTGCACTTCTGAATCGGCTTGCAAACGTTTTTAGAGCCACCCTACTGCAGTTGCAGGAAGCTACCATTTTTAGAATCAATGTTGGAAGTTCACATCAGAGGTTTTGGACATTTCATCTTCTTATAAAAGAGAGACCAACAGAAGGTTAGAGAACTTAATTAGGCCAGTGGATGTAGTACAACTTCATTAACTTTCTGTTAAGACAATCTTCAAACTATTTCTGGCATAGGTTGTAAAAATTGTGGTGCCCCACCACTGCAGTATGGTGTACTTCTAGATTTTTGATGTTGCCCAAAATATAATTAGGTCTGATTTCATTGCATAAGCAGTCCTGATCCCACGGGTTCTTTGATATCATCCAGTGTAACATCAGAAAGATGGATTGTGGCATTATTTTTGTATTGAAATTTAAGATGATTTCCTATGTAATTGCATCTCAAATTAAGTAGCTTCCGAGCAGTTATAGATGGGTGATCTTTTTTTTTATATTATTTATTTTATTATATTTATAATTAATTACCAAGTTAATTGAATGCAATTTAGGTTATTTATATAGCGCCAATTCACCACACATATAATCTCAAGGCACTTTACAAATCAACCAGATCATACAGTCAAATTAATTCAAAGTTTTCTATCTAAGGAAAACCAGCTGATTGCATTTGCCGAGGCTGACTTAAATTCGAGGAGACAGAAGCAGAGATACAATAAGAAATTGAGATACAAATGGCAACTATCAACCAGTTCCACAGGTGGCCTTGTCCAGGAAACACACAGCCAGGCAGACCAGCTCCGAGCCAGCTCCCATGTCAGAGGATGAAAGAGAATAAATACAGAATAAATACAGTTAGTAACAGTCAGAGAAACAGGACTGCACTAAAAAGAAAACAGGCCAAGCTCCAATATCTATAAAGAAAGGTGTTGATGGCAGCGGCACAGTTGTGACACCATCTCCAGGATGGTGTCACAGCCAAACAGGAACAGAGCAGATTTAGCTAATATGAGAAAAAGACGTAGACAAACGTTGTTATTTTGTACAAACAGGGCTTTTACAAAATTAAATTTCGTTCAGTACAGCTCTCAAGAAAAGCAGAGAGAGCATAACATTAGAGAGTGTACTAACAAGTTCTGTTAAATGGGAGAATAGCGATAGAATGAGGAAAAGGGGTCCTTATGTCCTCCAGCAGTCTAAGCCTATAGCAGCATAACTATAGAAATAGCTCAGGATAACCTGAGCCACTCTTAACTATAAGCTTTATCAAAAAGGAAAGTTTTAAGCCTAGCCTTGAAAGCAGACAGGATGTCTGCCTCATGGACTAACACTGATTCAATAGAGCTATGGCTCTGGATGAGTTTGGCAACTGTATTAAAAATAATATCTAGTATTATTCTTATTCTCCTCTATTAATAAGGAGAAAGATGCTGCTCTTGCTTTACAAAGGTTCATCTTATACAACAGTAACAGTTTTTCCAGAATATGTAGGATTCCTGTAGGCATGTTAGAGCCCCATTTTCTCTCTAGTTTCCTTGCATTTTGCTTCAGAGTGCACAGCTTTTTCAAAGGGATTGCATTGTCTAAGGCAGTATGCTGGTAACTAGCAACCCCAACCCCAAAATCATCAACTTGTGAATGGGAATAAACTAAACTTTTGCCCTCTGCAGCACTGCTCAACAACACAGAGGAGAGAGAAAGTGAAACAGGTTATATAAAATGTGTAAATGCATTATCTGATAATTATCTGTTAGTGTTATTTAAAGGGCTATTTANTTTTTTTTATATTATTTATTTTATTATATTTATAATTAATTACCAAGTTAATTGAATGCAATTTAGGTTATTTACAGTATATAGCGCCAATTCACCACACATATAATCTCAAGGCACTTTACAAATCAACCAGATCATACAGTCAAATTGATTCAAAGTTTTCTATCTAAGGAAAACCAGCTGATTGCATTTGCCGAGGCTGACTGGAGTTCGAGGAGACAGAAGCAGAGATACAATAAGAAATTGAGATACAAAAGGCAACTATCAACCAGTTCCACTGGTGGCCTTGTCCAGGAAACACACAGCCAGGCAGACCAGCTCCGAGCCAGCTCTTATGTCAGAGGATGAAAGAGAATAAATACAGTTAGTAACAGTCAGAGAAACAGGACTACACTAAAAAAAAAAAAAACAGTCCAAGCTCCAACATCTATAAAGAAAGGTGTTAATGGCAGCGGAACAGTTGATATTTCTCTCCAGGATGATGTCACAGCCAAACAGGAACAGAGCAGATGAAGCTAATATGAGAAAAAGACTTAGACAAACTTTATTGTTATTTTGTACAAACAGGGCTTTTACAAAATGAAATTTCGTTCAGTACAGCTCTCAAGAAAAGCAGAGAGAGCATAACATCAGAGAGTGTACTAACAAATTCTGTGGAATAGGACAAGAGTGATAGAATGAAGAAAAGGGGTCCTTATGTCCTCCAGCAGTCTAAGCCTATAGCAGCATAACTATAGAGATGACTCAGGATGATAAGCTTTAGTAAGCTATAAGCTTTATCAAAAAGGAAAGTTTTAAGACATACCCTTGAAGCAGACAGGGTGTCTACCTCATGGACTAAAACTGATTTAATAGAGCTATGGCTGTGGGTGAGTTTGGCAACTGTATTAAAAAATATATCTAGGATTATTCTTATTCTCCTCTATTAATGAGGAGAAAGATGCTGCTCTTGCTTTACAAAGGTTCATCTTATATAACAGTAACAGTTTTTCCAGAATAGGTAGGATTCCTGTAGCCATGTTAGAGCCCCATTTTCTCCCCAGTTTCCTAGCATTTTGCTTCAGAGTGCACAGCTTTTTCAAAGGGACTGCATTATTTAAGGCAGTATGCTGGTAACTAGCAACCCCAACCCCAAAATCATCAACTTGTGAACGGGAATAAACTAAACGTTTGCCCTCTGCAGCACTGCTCAGCAACACAGAGGAGAGAGAAAGTGAAACAGGTTATATAAAATGTGTAAATGCATTATC